ACTGACCGACGTCCCATCATAGTTCCACTAAGCGTTCTAAGCTCCCACTAGGTAATCTATTATTATCCAAAGCCCAAAATAAGAGGGAAAGAGTAACTACTAGGGAATATATCAAAGATACTTGATGTTTATGAAACTATGTTTTCATAAAAATACACTTCCTCTGTCAAACTAACCTAAAATAAATATAAAAAAATATATAAGAGACATGGAAACCGTAGTAATAAATTTTGACAGAAAGAAAAAGAAAATCAAATAAATAATGTCAATATGTTAAGTAGTTTTGCTAATTTTACACGTGTTCTATTGTCGACACGGATACTCCCGTTAAAAATAAACACTAAGCTAAAGCTTCTACTGCACAAAGTGTATTTTTTAAATGTTCATACACTCTACAGACAATCTGCTTTTCTTCTACCGACATAAACTTCCGTTTTCTTTGTACATTACTTATACCCGCTACGTCATCCATCTTAATGCTCTAAAAAGAATAAACATCAATCATAATATTCTGCTATGTATTTGTTGTTTACTTACCACGAAAACTATTTTAAAATTAATAAATAATAATAAAGTCTATTTAAAAAAATATATAAAAGAAAGTCACATGCACAAGAAACACAACACACCCGCCTCTGGACATATAAGAATGTGAAACGAATCAAATATGTCATCTCATTACTATTTTTTCCAAGAACGTAAATATATAGCCAAGCAAAATCTTGATAAGTTTACCGATGTTTTAAAATAATTAACTGGACTGGTCCAACTATACGCTCGAAAAACGCACCGGTATGCACAATTTATATTGTTACGTGGGCAAATGTTATGATATTATTTCGTATATTTTACTTATTTACATTGTTAAAACACAATAAAAACGACCCCGGTAAGAATTTACTCTTGATATTTAGGATTGTTGCCGTTAGCTCTCAGTTAAATTTGTAAATGAGACATCTTTAATTAAAATCTGTCCGACTATAGTTTTAACACGAACTAACTGACCGTACGTTGATGAGATTTGACGTCACGAAGGCGATAACGGTGAAAATAAACGACAATGATGAGTAACACGTTTCACTATTAGATTTTAGTATTTTTTAGCAATTTTCTTCAAAGTTGGAACACGCTTTTCTCGATTATTACTGGACACAGAAAGGTGGAAAAAAATCAACGATGACGGAAAAAAAACTCGTTCAAGTGATGGGCGTAAAAAGTTTGGTTATAATAGAACGTTAAACAGCATAATCCAATTTTTCAACAGAAGTTTCAAAAAAATAAAAAAAGTAAAACCATCATTTTAAAAGCAACATAATTTCGAATATTGTGTCCAAATTTCGAGACATTTTTTCGGTAAATAACAGTCCCTAGGTTTTGGTGCACCGATAAAACAGCCTTAAACTTTGTTTATTCCATTCTAAGAGGTACTAAGTGTTTTTCCTTGTAGATTTTTTAAAAGGCACAGTATAGCCTTATACAGGATCGCATAAAAGTTACTCCTTTCTGAATTAAGCGGCATCTTAAAAAATTAAAAATTTTCGAAAAGTCAAACTAGATTTTGAAATGAAACTAGTATGAAGTTGTTATTAAGAAGATATGATTAATGCATACAGTATTTGTCGGTCATTAGAAACTTCACTTAGGCACTACAGAATGTTAAGGTAACTGTTCACTTGAAATAAAATATCGAGATTTTTCTCGGAGTGTTGTCCATTTGAGATCGCTTGCTGTCTCGAGATGGACATGTGAGACTCGCTGGTGACTTAAGTCTCGAGACCAAGACAATTATTCCGTGTCGACTAGAGAGTCAACATACATTCTTACAGTCAACATACAGTGACTTAATCGCGAACATACATATTTTCATTATTTAAAATGGATTAGCGTCAGACCTAGCTTTTATAATCGTGTATCATCAATCAGCCAATCGCGTCCACTGCTAGACATAGGCCTCCCTCAGTTCTTTCCAGTGTTTTCTACACTGCCCATGTTAGACCTATTCGCCTCTGTATTTCATGTGTTTGATTGTCTCTGCTTATTTTGATTTCGTGTCCCAGATATTTGTAAGTGTCTGTTTGTTGTATGGTATTATTGTCAATAGTTATATTTCCACTCATTACGAGATTTGTTATAATTTTAGTTTTCTCAAAGTTTATCTTTAATCCTGCTCTTTCAGACAGACTTTTAAGCGAATGCATCATAGAAACTGTATCTTGTAAGTTATCTGCGATTAATACAACATCATCTGCAAACCTTAGGTGATTTAATCTTTCTCCATCTATATTGATGCCCATATCTTGCCATTGAGTACCCTTAAATATTGACTCTAGAGCTGCCGTGAACAATTTTGGTGAAATATTGTCTCCTTGTCTAACTCCTCGACCTAAGCTGAATTTTTCTGTGTCTTCGTGCAGTCGTATACTTGATGTAGCGTTCTGATAGATGTTTTTGATTAGTGTCGTGTACCTGTAATCTATTCGGCTTTGATTTAGGGCTTCCAGTATTGTTTCAAACTCTACAGAATCAAAAGCCTTCTCGTAATCGACAAATGCAAGAACCAGTGGTATGTTGTACTCGATGCACTTTTCTATTAAGATCTTTATGGTATGCAAATGGTCATTTGTGCCATATCCTGCCCTGAAGCCTGCCTGTTCTTTGGGCTGATAGAAATCAAGTTTAGGTGTTAGCCTCTTTGTTAAGATTTTCATAAAGAGTTTGTACATATGTGTCAAGAGGCTGATGGGTCTATAATTTTCTAAATTAGTAATATCGCCTTTTTTGTGTAACAAGACTATTACTGCATTGTTCCAGTCTTTTGGAATCGTACCCGCATGTAAGCATTTAGTAAACAGTTCGCTTACTGATTTTAATAAAATTTCTCCACCTGCTTTTATTGCCTCGATAACGAGTCCATCATCACCAGGCGATCGATGGTTCTTCATTTCCTTTAAAGCTGCTCTTACTTCTGACACATTAATGGGTAAAAGTATTTCCGATCCCTGATTTATGAGAGTCTTTACTCGTGTCAGGAAATTGTCTTGTTGTCTTTGGCTGGTATAGAGGTCTTTATAAAATTCTCTAGTTATTTTCAGAATATTTTGTTTATCTGTTGTTGCCTTTCCGTCTTTATCTCTCAGCTTGTATATTTCTTTTTTACTTTGCGTAAGTTTTCTTTTCATTATCTTTAAACCTTTGTTCTCTTCTACTGTTTGAGTAATTACATTAGTATTATATCTTCTTACATCTTTTCTAATTTCCGCTGAAATTCTTTTATTTAGTTTTTTATATTCTTCTTTGTTTCCCTTTTCGTTCTCGCTTAGGTTTCGTCGTATTTTAATGAGAGCCCTTGTATCTTTGCTAATCTTTTCACTTTTGGTGTCATTTTTCTTGCAAAATTTGAGTTGTGCGTTTCTAACTGAGTCTGTTATTAATTTATTGTGATCGTCGATACTTAGAGGTTTGGGATTATTACTCTCTAAAGTTTCGGCTATATTTCTTATGTATGCTTCTGGATGATTTGGTGAATTCCAAACTATGCGTTTGTAACTGTTTATCATCTTTGCTCTTCCTTTTTGTAGATTAATCGTTACTCTAGCTCTTACTGGTCTGTGGTCGCTTCCTACTGATAGTTTATTGAGTACAGTGACATCTTGAATAATTTGCTTTTTGTCTGTTATTATATAATCATATTCGCTCTTAGTTCTTCCGTCTGGACTAGCCCACGTCCATTTTCTATTCTGTTTCTTCTTAAAAAATGTGTTCATTGCATACAGTTTGTGTTGCAGTAGAAAGTTGGTAAGCATTTCGCCTCTGTCGTTTCTTACTCCGATTCCAAATTCCGTGTATACAATTGTGCAAAAACGAAACAAAAAGCTGAATAAAAAAAAATTTAGGTGATTGAAATTTACTTGAAGAAGCTACAATAAATTGTAATGCAGATAAATTTGTACCGTGAAGCCGCGTGCTGCAATTGAACCCTGAGTTCGGCTTATTATTTTCAAATTTTAGCTTTCTGTTTAACGAGTTGTCTAAATCCGGCCCTGACTAGTCATTCAAACCCCTTTCTAAAAACATATCACTATAGGGGTGATATACAATATAGGTATCTGTATTTTTATTGAAAGAAAATGGATAAAAAAAAATGGTATTGGTTATGGAAAAATTGTAGTGTATGTAAAAAATTGTAGTTTATGTAAAAATTGATCTTTTCTATAAATTTGTAATGACTTTGACAAATTATTCTAAACTCTGATCATTTCATCCAGTATATTATTTGATCTTTCGTAATTAAGCATTTGGTATCTTTTCTCACATACATACCTAAACTGTACGTCCCCGTAGAACCTGTAGCTGTTTTTTGCTCAAAAATCCATGTTGGGTGGAGAACCGATCATTAATGGGATGCATAATGATTTTTTCTTTTTACTGACCTATGTTTTCTTTTTTGTATCTGCAGATAGTTATGCAATGATCTTGTATTTTGCCTATTATTTTCTCTGTTTATCCTCTTATTTTCTTCTCTTTGTCTTCTTCATTATTAATTATACATTTTTCTTTGAATCATTCCTATTTCTTTCTGTGCAGTTTTATCGCTAACCTCTTTCCAAGAAATTATCCTCCTTATATATATATATATATATATATATATATATATATATATATATATATATATATATATATATATGATACTACTTATGCCCAATCTAAACTATACTGCTAAGTTGAATAATCTCTCTCCTTGTTTTCCCATGACTGTACATAGTAATTCTACCGTATTAAATCATTTTCAAATCTCATTATAGAATCAATACGTCTTCTGGTACATTTTCTACGGCTTCTTCCAATGTTGCTTTAGTTGTACTATTGCATTGTTCGTAATCGCTAGGCTCCTTGGATGTAGATACATTAATTATGAATACTTTTATTTTGATCAAGATAAAAAGGTTTATAAATATGTTTGTAATTTGAACTGTAGTTTAAATCGTTCTTTTTTCTTTCAGAATCTACTGATAAATGCCAAAGGATCCCAAAGTGATATAAAAGTAAGTAAGATGTGCTTTATCTACAGACTTTTTATGATTTCACTAGGCAATGCAATCATAAGTGTAAAATACTCAGCGTTGCCTGTTTCAACTATTTTGAATTAGTAACTTTAATCAAACAAATTTAATGTTGGTGTGCAAAAGTTTTTAAGTCTATTTAGGCGTTCTTAGTCAATTAAAAATTATGGATATTCTTCATGAAGTGCCCTCTTCGGTCGATTACTGTGGTAAATTTATTTTTATATCAACCGCTATTTTAAAACCTGTTGCTACGTCTAAAACAATCCATCATCTAATATTCTGAATGCACATTATTATTCTAAGCCATACTCCATATTATTTTCCTTGTATTTTTCCTTCCAATAATAGTTGAAACAAATCATATTTCTGATTTCTCATTATATGTACAAGTATTATCCCATGTAATGTTCGATATTGGAATTGGAATGTTTCCCTATATAGAAGGTAACTGTCCTCTTTTGCCGGAAATAAGGCGGCATCTCTAAAAAGATCTATTATTACTTAGAATATTGCGGGATAAATATTTAGGACTAGAGGAATTTTTTATGCAGAAATTTACAAAGTGGTAATGAAAATAATATTGGGAGAAAAGTACGCAGAGAAATAAGTTCTCTCAAAAAATTGGCAAAATAAAGAGGAAATAAATGAAGTTAAACGTGAAATATTTTTGAAGCGTTACACAGCCCCAACTACGATGAAAACCTGGTCCATCAAGCATGAGTTCTTTGCTTCACCTCGGAGTCAAATGGACAGTCAGCTGAGTGGACAGAAGCAGACGAAGTCTGTCCAAAACGACCAAAGACAAGGTTTTAACTTTCATATTTTGAAATATGCAAAGTATTGATTGCTTTGATTAAGACAATTACCATAAATACCGAATATTTTATGTGACGACCAGAAATGTGTCATAAGTCGATCGTTACGATAACAAATGTACATAAATTTTAAACTTCGAATTGCTTCTTCATCCACCGTATCCTCCAGATCTGACTTCTTGTGACTACTGACTCTACAAACCTGCGAATTGTTTGAAAACCATTGAAATCAATGTATCATCCTAGAATATTGAATATTGATGAATAAAGATCGCTGTTGTCTAAAAGTTGTGCTTTTATAAGTTAATTCCAGGACATATTGAGTAAATTGTTAAATAATTCAAAATATAAGTTTTCGTCATGTTTCCTAATATAATTTTTCTCTTTCTGTTTCAGAAATTCATAAATGAATTACTAGATAAGGCAAAGACTCTTTAAATTAAGTGAAGTGCCAAAAATTATTGTTCGAAGTGATTATAATGAAGAAATTGAAGAAACAGACATGGGCCCACTGCGGAGCCTAAGTTGCACAAGTCTTAGTGATTTTTTGTCTACATCGATGTTCATTGGATTTAAATGAGTGTATATTCCATCCTTAGATAGCCAAGATGGACGATCCGGCGCAATAATTTTTAGAATTTTTTATGTGACTTCGTAACAGTAGTGGAAATAGTCAACCGGTGGGTTCGAAAGTATTAGCGTATTTAGATATTATTCAATTTTCTATTGTGTTTATCAAAATATATACAGTTTATGGATTTTTCTGCCAATTACTGTTGGATTTGCTAAGTCCTATACTTAGTTTGCAAATTTGGCGTAATGTGCTCATTACTAGCTTGTTTAATGCCACACCGTGATCACACTAATTTAAATATTGTGGATCTACCGATTTTTATCTTACAAACAAATAGCAAGTGTTATTCCTACGGCAGTTAATTTTAAACTTTGGTAATGTATTTGAGAGAGAGAAAGGGAGAGAGAGAGAGAGAGAGAGAGAGAGAGAGAGAGAGAGAGAGAGAGAATAGGAACATAACCTAAAAATAACAGTATGGTTCCCATGTATCACATTATACTATGCCCTAATTGTTTCCTTAACCTTCCGTTACTCGCGCCAATTTTCTGTTATCGAATACTCGCGCACGGTGCTGAAGACCGGGTCCGAAAAAATGGGGTCAGTAATATTTTTCAATTTTCTTTTTGTGAAAATTCTGTACAATTATGTTATTTAATGAGATCATATAATTTTGTAGATATGCGTTTGTTTCAACATTATATTAGTTTAATGAAAAGTTAACTAATTTTCATTGTTATCCATTTATATATACAAAAAACTTTAAAAATCAAAAAAATACATTGAATATTGTTAAATTTCTTTATTAGGAACTTCAAGAAATTAATTCAATACACAAAAAAATTAAAAATGAAGAGTAATTGCAACAAAAAAAATAAGAAATATTAATTAAAATTTTCATAACATGAATTACACAATGATGTAACATGTTCCAAACACAGATATTTTGTGCATATTTGGCAGTAATATTTTGTTTTTCTATTTTTCCGCCAATGACAAACAGCACAGCGACCTTGAGTTCCAGGTGTTATGACTGGTACTTGTTCCACTGGTAAGCCACATATCTCCCTAAGCCTCATTCTGATGGTTCTGGGTAAACTGGTAGACATAGCCCGTACTTTTTGGTAGTCACTGGTTAGTAACATCGAGAGTTTTAGTAAAAATTCTTTACGTGGTATTTTAGATTCTTCATCTAGACTAGTATAAACTACAAAAGAGTTTATTCCTGCTACATTCAACAAACTAAAAAAAGGAATCATGGGCCATCGTCTTGTGGCACGGGCGTAATTATATTGCGCGCATAATTTATCTACCACATCTACTCCGCTCTTCGTTTCATTATACGTAATTATCATCTCAGGTTTACCTGTGGTAGGGTCAATATCATCTCCATGGTGCATTGTAGAGATAGGTAGGACGTTTCGATTTTTTTTTTGGCATATGCGAAACCAAGGTGATTCCGTTATTAAATCCAAACATTGAAGAGCCAATGCACCTGCCGTTATTTTGTATAAATTCTAATGGCAACTGTTTTTTATTTTTTCGAATAGTACCCACCAAAGTTAATTTTTTTGATTTAAGGCTATCAGCTAGAGGCACACTACAAAACCAATTATCTACAGTAACATTCCTATTACTCCCATAAATGTGTGCACAAAGTCTTTCTACTACGTCTTGCGTCGCTGTACTAACTTGAAAAGTTCCATTTGGTTGTTTTCCGACGTAAACTTCTAAGTGGCTGGTATAGAATTGTTTGGCATCGGAAATGGCAAAAATTTTTATACCATATTTATTCGGCTTGCTAGGAATATATTGTCTGAAACTACAATTTCCTCTAAAAGCTTCTAGTTTCTCATCTATGGTAACATAACCAGAATGAGAATAGCATTTTTTAATGTTGCTGTTAAATTTTTTTAACAAAGTTCGTATTGGAGCCAGTTTATCTATCTGTATTCTTTCATGTCTCGTGTGAATGTTATCAAATCGCAGACATTGCAAAAGAAATTGAAATCGAGGCTTACTCATTACAAGTCGAAAAGTTTCAATGCCAGTGCCATCTGTTCTCCAGAGATCCTCTATATTCATGTGATTTGCTTTTCTAATACCAGCAAGATAAAGGAGACCAATTAGGGCTTTGATTTCGACAATGTCGGTAGGTTTCGCATCTCTTTGTCTACTGTAGTCATCTGTAACACTCTGAATTTTTATATTTGTACAGTCAACAACTAGATTTAACATTTCTTCATCAAAAATGCAATTCCAGATGTCAATAGGTGTTGAGTGAGTTTTAACAAATTGTTTTATAGCTGGCAATCGTACAAATATATTGGTACTGCGTGTTCTTACATTCTTCGTTGGACAATGTTTTTTCCACTTTGTTAATGTATCTTTACCCATAAAGTACGGCTCCCTTCTGAAACTAACATTTTCTTCCTCTGTTTGATCGGCTTCAAATTCCTGTTCAGTATCACTACATTCAGATCGTTCTTACATGGTTAATTTCATTTTGTTGATCATCATCTTCATACGTTTCCTCGTCAGTCGATACTTCCTCAAATAATTTTAATAATCTCTTTTTCTCCTTCTCGTAATCCATATTCATATATCTATAAATATACAAATATATAAACATTGAAAATAATAAAAAGAACTTAAATCACCTTGCAGAGTAAAACTTTTAATGTCTGATCCAAAGCACAAAAATGTGTCCACAATACTCGCACCCGGTGTACCGGACCGTGTTGCCTAATAATAAAATTATAATGCTCTTTTTTACACTACACACAGACTTCAACGATAAGTGACCGACGACTGAAGAGGTACATGAAGCATGAAGCAGCAAATTCCCACTACAATCAGAGTTACTTGAAATTATATACAGGGCCGGTCTCATAAACCGTGCGCGAGTAACGAAAGGTTAAATATCAATAATACCTACATACCTATAAATATATCTCATAACAAAAGTGATGAATAAACCACAATTTCTCTTCTACATCAAGGTCCGTAAGTTAAGCCTTCTGCCCACTTACCAGCAGTTCTTCAGTGTAAGGACTTCCTCATCATTCACAGTCTTATCGATACGGTATATACCGGACAGGGTCTTATAAGTTACTATTGTTTCTTAATACCTAGTAATTTAAATTTACATTTACCTGTATATATTCTCCATGCTAAAAGTCGCGGTATTAGCGTACCGTAGAGCTTCGTTTACTAGCCTCAAGGTAAATTGTTTAGATACCAAACTAAAACAGATGCAAAGTTGGCTTTAGTGCAACAACTTTTGATATACATTATATCTTCTTTGTATTATTTCTTACCGTTATATGACTGCCTAAGTTGTCGTTTTCTTTCGATTAGCAAACTTTGACCTAGCTACTTTGACCAGCAAATTTCTTGGTACTTTGAGTTAATAATACATCTGTTAATTTCACTTTTTGCCAATTAAGCTATTTTTTTTACTTTTGATACTTATTTTGTTTTTTAAAGTCCCGTTTATGTACTCGCCATTTTCTTAATTTTAACTAAGCTAACTAACCTTAAAATTAATGTTGGCTAGGTAAAGTGTCTTTTATGGTTAAATAGATTAACTGTATGAAAAAATTTTTAAATACAGTTTAAACCAAAAAAAAGACATTTTAATGTTGAAGGTGGTCCTTGCAATTCAAACTATGACAAAAAAACGATACTTATATAAA